GTTAATTAGCCAATACAAATAGACTATCTCAACAATACCTATCACAAGATTCATCTTATCACGTGTTCATGCTGGCTATTATCATCAATTAGATATAAGATGTGCTTAAGATAATAATGACATTCTCCTAGTGCCTATTATTAATGATTAGCATTGGAAATAAGTTTAAACAATTGATGAGAATAGCAAAAAAAATATCAGTATCCTAGACTAATGCCAAAGCCATTTTGATATTAGCTGTAACACAGCACGATACGTCAAATGGAAACCAGGTTCATATAAAGTCAATTAAATTACCTGCTGAAAAAATTTAAACAGAGTACTTTTAGTATACTAGATTATCTTCTATACACTAATTCATATAACAATAGAATATTAGTGTCAAAAACAAATTTGGTAATCCAGGTGGATAAGAAACAAGATTATCCAGATGACATAATCTAGAAAACTATTTTGACAAAATAATTGATGATAGCTTAAATGCAATTTCTAAAATTGTCAATACTGGCATAAGATACCTATCGTCGAGATATAACAGTAATTGAATGTCAATAATGATCAGTGGGAATATACAGTTGATTCAATGAAGCTACAGAGAAAACTATTATATCGTCACAGTCACCCTAATGATAATTATGTATTAAAGAAAGGTAAGTGAGGTAAAAATACACGTATTTAAATTTGCGTCAGTCATCACACATTAAAAATTTAACAATAATGCAAGATAATGATTCAATTTTAGATAGCCCTAAAACTGAAAATCCCATGCATAATAAAATTGTAATTACTCGAGAGCTTAAAGAATGTATAAAACTGATAGGCCGATTTAAATTGCAATAAAGGACTGGAAATGGAAAGTAATTTTTTAGTGAGGTTAATTTCGCTCTCTATGAATATTGATATCAAACAATGCATACTCGTACAGTCGATAAATAATTAAGAAAGGATTATTGAAAGTTTGGTAAAGTATAAAAACAACTTAGACACAAAGTTGGTTAGCACAAACTTGATATACAGGTATAAGTATACGGAGTGAGACACAATGGGTTAGATTAGATGATAAATAGTACATTTGCTAAAATCTATTAGATAAAGTAACCCCAATGCCAAGCGATTAATCTTAACTTTAGAAATTGATATGAGCTTATCTAACAAAGAATGATAAAAATTAAGATATAACTTTAACTGGATTTACATTTCCTCAGTATCATGACAATTTGATAATTAGACCGAGTATAGTATACATGCTGCTTCTTTGGTATCGTAGAGACAACATATTTTTGAGACGTAAGGGTTATCCTTTAATCGCTAACAGATTACTAAATTACAAAGAATTTACATATCAGATACGTTATTAGATATCTACTCAATAGTATTGCAATTTTACTAAACAATTTCCATTAGCCTATTATAATAATTAATATTGCATTTATGAAAGGAGTTAAGAATTGTGTCATTTACTATCCAGTTATGAAAGACAACGAAACCGAGGTACTAAAATTAGGTACTAATATTATTACCAAAACCTTTCCCAAATATTACTGCATAACCTCCTACTTTTCTAGCTTTTTGCATCAATGTGATATGCTGTACTCTAAAGCAGAATCTAAACGTCCCAAAGTTATCCCGACGATTTCATTTTAGCATTGATACCCGCGTGCATCAAACAACGATTGTAGCACGTACTAGGCATTAACCTCATTGAATCATGGTGTTCAATGCCTGAAAACAAGATCTATATTTTGATGACTTTGAAATTGGATAATTGATAATCATATCATCAATTTTTACGATATGAAATAACTATGATGAAATAAATTGTATTTGGATAGCTGAAAATGCCACTCTGCTTATGTAAACAATCAAAGGCAAATAAATTTGTCAAAGGAGATCTTAAAATAAAGGATTTTTAATTATAACAATAAAATTTAAATTAGCTTTATTATGCTGCTATCATGACAGCTCACCATGCACTAGATGTTAATAGTAGCATCGTTAAATGTGAATCATCAAGGCTAATTAAACTATTTTTAATTCTCACTGGATTAATATTTGATAAATTCCGTAACTCAGTAACGTAATTTTTAGGATAAAATTGTGCTGCAAGACTGCCGTATGTAAGAAAGTAATAAATATTAGTAAGAAGTGTCGGTATTAATGAAGAAATAAAATTATAAAAATATTTTATTATTATTCGAATGAAGTACTTACTTTCTATATTAATAAAATCGCTTTTCCAAATAAGAATACATATTACTGAAGTCTTTCTAGACTCTCATTTTATCGTTCGATTATCACTTTTGATAGAGTACTGAATTGTTTAAATTTGAAGATATCCGATGTTATACCAGAAGTATATCCTAGTAAAGGTTTAATTAATTACAACGCTTACATGTAAAGATTGTAAATTTTTAATTTTCTTTGCGCAATTAGTAAAATCTTTAATGCTAGCAGTAAAAGTTTATTCTACTGAAAAATCATAATTGGACTTATTACTACACAATAAAAATACATTAAAAAGTCTTTAAAACGCCACATTTCATTTAAAGTAGTATCTGGTGATGAATAAATGATGTCTTTACGATTTTACTGCACATTCAAGTAATTTAATAAATTCATAATAAGGTCACGACATCTCATTAAAATTGCCTAAATGACCCGATTCCAACTACGTTTAACCACATTACTAATACATTTAATGAATAGAAATAAAGTACTGTACCTTATGTTTGCTAAGACGCCTAGAGCCAGAAGTGTAATTATGACAGAAACGATAAACCAAATATTTTTCAACATTCATTACTGGTTCATCGTTTAATCTCAAATAAGAGTTTCAAACATTGAATAGTACACAGTAAATGATATACAAAATGGTGAATATGATTCGTAAGAAAAATATAGGAACTTCTTAATGCTGTCGAAATGAAGTTCACCTGCTGGAACTGCTTACAGAGCTCCGACTAAACGTAACGATCATAACAATATAATGTCTGAACAACTAAAATTTACTCAAAATTAGTTAATCACAAAATTGTAGGAAATTTTTAGAAACTCGAGCGTTATTAAAATGATCGCAGTTAAGATGAAAAATGGTGTGATAATTTTCAACGTTGACAAAAAATTGAAAAACATTTTTCGTAAACAAGGCGACTAGAAAAGACATAGCCGCATCAGAGAGAAGGTAGATCTAACGGTCTGCTATTGGATGATAAAAGCCTAACTTCATCAATAAAATTTCTTAAAGTAAGAGCTATACGTGGTGATAAAAATTTGCTATATTCTCTAACGGTTTTATTCAAAGATATTTGTAAGCGTAAACTATTTTAGTATTAAAGATTTAATTATTAGCATGTCCAACATATTTTATAAAAACATAGGTATTAAATTCATTCATTGCCTAATTAAATATATTGTAAAATACAAGATTTATTTTAATGTGTTCATTTTAAATATCAAAATTAAACATTATACGAAACAATTATTGAATAAATTGAGGTACGCGTAGAAAGTTAAGAAGTATGCGAGACTTACGCAACAGCTCGATGAAAGATACTACCTTGGCTTTGCACCGGTCAGTATTTAAAATTACGAAGCTAAACAAATAAAATTTAGGCGATTACATTTAAAGTCGAAGCGAATCTTGTATAATAAAAATAAAACCGCAATGATTTTATAATATTTAGTTTTTAATTAATTAACAGTTCAGTAGGTATTAGTCTTATGCATTTTACAGCCGAATTTTTGCTTGAAGCTTTTAATATAATCAAAAGATGATATTAAAATACGTCTTTAAAATTGTTGAGATGTTTATGACTAAACTTATTCTGTAAACAATCATCTTATCGGTACTGTATAGTCTGTAATCTTCCGGCTGCAAAACGACATAAGAGCGTAACGTGTAGCGTGCAAGGTAGTTTTCAGTTCTAGCTTGTTGGTTTAAGTGATTTTGTTCGTAAAGTAAAAGTATCTGGTTTCAGGCAAAGAATCGTTAACAGCCATCATTTTCAATGTAACGACTAGCAGAAGTACCTATAGCGTAGAATTACAACATTTGATGGAGAATTTGAATTCGGTACGCTATATTAATGATTTTTTCCAGACTTCCAATATTATCAATGATCGCATTGCCTAATCAATTGCTACCCATAACTTTTATCAGTTTGTTCACTAATCTGCAGACTCATAACAATAACAGCTGTTTGAAAGATCGACATTTTAAAAGGTTTATTTACAACTTCCAAAAGGTTTGGTCCATCAAAGCTGAATGAAATTTTTCATCGGCTGTAAGGTACGGTAGTTGACTTGTTATTTCATAATTTGCACGCTTTTATTAGTACAGATATACGCGTATGCAGTGCTTAAATAAAATAATGCCTTGATTACCAAAAGTATCGCTTATTTACTAGCAGTAAGATCAAATATACATAAACGGGAATCAAATAGCCTTCACTCTTAATCTAGTCTGCCATTTATCCTTGGGCCGGGCTTTTGACAGAAGGTAAAATTAAATCAATCAGTTAAAAGTACATCTCCTTTTATACCTTCGAAGATACCCTAAGCTGGAATACTCATTGTTCAGTCATACCACAGGTGTAGCTTAGATAAGAACGTAATTATTCGATTTATTACTATTTGCATAAATAATAAAACACCCAGGATCCTGAGACGTTTAAATTCGGGGAATATTTATTATCTAATCACACTAAGCTTCATGTTAATAAATTAAGTACGTAATGCATAAATTTATCATTTTTCTATAAAGTCGAATATGTTTCATTATACTTGCATAATGATACAAAATATGAGATACAAAGATCAACTATAAAATTATTGATTAGATCAATCAGTTTAATGACTACATCTCCTTTTATACTTCGAAGGATATCCTAAGCTGGGAAAATTCATCATTCAATCATTCTAAAGGTATAGCTTAAAATAAAAATGTAGCAATTGGATTTATTACTATTTGTATAAACAGTGAATTACCCGTGTTGATGTTACTATAACATTACATTAACCACAAGTTTGAGTTCGTACATATGAGGCAATTCCTCATCAATAATGCAGCAAAGATCTGCACAGAAAGCAGCCTAGAAAAAGTCGTTTTTTATTATGTATGATTGTTCATCCTTCTATCAGAGAAGATTTTGTTTTATCCATTCTAGTATAAGAATGATAGGAAGAAGCGAAGATAAGTTAGATAAGAGTATTAAACTCTTCTTGTACATGTGCTAACAGCTAAACAGGCTAGATATAAAATTTTTACTATCTAAAATAAAGTAAATAGAAAGACTCTGAGTCTAAACTCATTACCTGCACACTAGCCTCTACTAGACGAAGGTTTGTAACAATTAATAACACTACATCCTGCCCCTCAGGTGAATCGTTATATCGCGAAAATAGATCATGAACTAACTTAAATGTTTACACATGAATTATAAAATAGTACTCTTTAACGCTTACAAGATATTTTACGTGTATATTAAGAATTGATGATGTAAAGGTACCTCATTTTAGGTTAAGAAAGATAAACGTGAAATACTAGTTGATCAGAAGGAGGCAGCGGACATTCAGAGCAGCAGATCATACCATCGCTTCAATTGCTAAACAGAAGATGTAGAAGTAGCAACTCTGGCATAGGCAGTACTGAACTACTTCACTCAGCGGTAGAGTACTGGTAGACAACACTTACAGGAAGATCGCATCATAGAGAGTATGATTTCATACAGAGCAACAGACAGGATAAGAAAGAATTGAAGAATAAAATTACATTACACTACTTATGGCCTGATCAGCTTAGATAGTCATAAATCTTACAGCATAGATATCACTTAGTCATAATCATATATGGGTATATTAACAACCATAAGATATCAATCCTAAATGCTGAAGACATGATCTAATCGGTCACGACTGCAAGTCAAACTTGAAATAATCTCCTTTACTTTCACATTACCAACGAGTAACAACAAATAACAAATTGCAAACGAGCAACTTAATGACTTATTCAAATTTAACATCAGCCAAAGTCTCCTTTTTTTCTCTATCTTTTCTCCTTTTTATACCATTGCAATTAACACATCAATACTCTATATTTGTAAGGTAAGTTAATGAAACCACGACAACAGCAAATATGTTTTAAAACATAATCTAATGACAGTATCCCTAAAATGGTGAACATAACCAGTAATAATCCCTAATATGGAAATCAATTGAACATAACATAACTATTAATAATCCTACTTGTATTTGAACATCTACTTTGATGAAATTACACAACATAAAAAAGAGAGGATCCTAAATGTGAGATCATTACAAAGCTCAGGTGGAATCTATAGAAGTAAAACATATTTAGCTACGTAATACCATCGCAGCGATGGAAGAAATCAAGCTGCAAGGCTATAAAATATCTATTCACTTTACCTCTTGTGCCTGAATGCTTGATGATGCTAGCCTATGTCAAATAACGAAAAAAACCTAACAATCAGTATATAATAAATTGAAATCTTTGTATTTAATTCATCTGGATAAACTTTATAATTTGTCTAGTAAACAACTTTATTAAGATATCATTAGAAACATAATTTATACGACTGCCAAAATTCCAAATTACGCCTAGGTCTGACGATCTAACAATTCATTAAAGGCTCAATTAGAATATTATAGAGTATGTGATATTTGAAATTATACAACTCCTCTAATTTTCTACAAAGGATAAGAACTGTTACCACGGAGAGCTGAATCATGAAATTAAAGGATGTTCATGAAAACAAAATAATGCGAGCATATGCTTAAAGTACAGTATAATAAAACTTTAACATTAGGCACTCTATACAACTTACTATGAGCTATGTCAAACTGCAAAAAAATTGGATAACCTGATAATCCAGTTTATAGGTTTGTTGTCTTATTACATAATAAACTATTTTTGTTAACTATTTACTTTATCTGCTGTTGCCTTCAAGGTATTATTTAGCCCGAAGTAAATGATACACATGTATTCAAAACGTCTAATTGTTTAAAAGTTAATGATTAAGTAATCAAGTCAATGTATAACGAGAAGATCACTACATGATGAATTGCATACTTAGGAGCGACGTAACTAAATTTTTAATGACATCATTTTAGGCGTAATTTTTATCACTGTAAACTGTCGCAAGCCCTATTTATGCTATGATTCAGCAATCTAGATTAGATATCTGTTTTGTACGTTAAGATTAAATTAAGCTTTAAGAAATGAAGGAAACGTATCTACCAGGCTAATATATTATAGGCAGGACGTGAAATGATTTAACCTATCTCTTATTTACGATAGAGAAAGAAAATATTATCAAAAAATTTAAAAGTATAAATGAAAGTAAAAAATTATATACTCTAGGAATATTCAAGGTTACTAACGCATAATTGTAAAGTATATATATAATTTGTACGAATGTGAGCATCAGGTTTTGCAGTCAAGCAATGATCTAATAATATAATTTTCGTTTGCCTAATGATTAGGTTATTAAATGGTTGGATAATTTTATTCTCGCATGCAGTGACTAGATTACTAAATAGCTGATTATATTTATAAACTATTTAGTTTATCCAGTTTTAAAGACCCTATCAATTCTGAAATTTATTCCTCCAATGAATTACATCAAATTTCATTAAAAGGCAATGATCCAGTATCAAATTGTCTTCATGATCCATTAAACTAGACTATTAGATTACTCATTCGCCCGACTACTACTGGAGATCTAACGTGCGATGGTGCTAGACTACTTGATTGACACACAAGAACAAGACTGTTCTATAAGGCTAGTATAGTTATTTATTAGAAGATTGATCAATATCGTTCAGTTCCCTATCTACCAACCAACTCTCAGACTGAGCATTTGCTCGCCCTTTTATACCCTTTCACAGAATTGGTTGTGCACAGTTAATAATTTCTCATACAAGATTTACTTGATTACTATAATTTAAGTTCAATTAAAATGTGATATAATAGGTTATATCTATAAACTATTTAATCTGTCATCTCTTTAAAGCAGAGGAAAAGTCTACTATAGAAATCTAAATAATGCTAAATTCAATAGTAGACAGGATTAAAGATTATACAAAAGAAAGACTCGCTTCCAATTTTGCCTTGTCTAGATGAAATAACTTGATGATAAAAAAGCACCAAAAAGATTTAGCCTATATCACCTAACATAAAAGTTCTTCTCGACTCAAAAAAACAAGTACAATAAAATTTCTCAAGAATCTAAATAGGATACACAATTTTTATCTTGTTTTGGATATTTTAAATACACTTACTCGAACATAAAAAAAATCAAAACCAAATCCATAATTTTTAATAAAGAATCAGTTGCAATACGAACTAAATTACATACCTGATCAGCAGAGAATACGATTAAACAATTTTTAACTTTACCTAAGCTATGTCTTAGCTGACGAGGTTGCTAGTTAGCTATAAGATAGAAATTATACTGAAAAATTGGACAGAATTCTCTCTAGACGAAAAATAAAGATGAAAGCATATATTATAATATGGTTTCTAAATAATAGCATCCTTCAAATAACGTATTAATCGATCTCTTTGTAAAATTTCCTATAATTTTAATTTTCCACAAATTCTATGACTAAGTCTGAACTTTGCTTCTATCTTGGATAATTATCGGATGATTGCATTACTAAAAAATAGAGATGAGAAATAAATATAACAAATGTACCCAATTTAATGCGTCAGAGTTTATTAGTCAAGATCTGCTATAATAGAGGATCCTAGGTAATAAGCATGGTCTACACAATGACTGTATTTTAGGAACTGATTCAGAAAGCTAATCATGGTCTGAGTTATTTGTATATTTTTTGGTACGACCATCAAAGTCAGTTTATCGGAATTATTCGAAAACTTAAATATGGTTAATGTATGTAGGAATCTACAGTAATTAAGTGGAAATTCGTCAAAGTTTAAAAATAATACTAAGATCAGCAATGTAGCAGCAGAACCTGGATCTAGCTTTTAGATTTCGTACCGACGAGCCGAACCATAAACTTTCCGATGCCAATATATAAAAAATATCACTACTGGACGCGGCTACTACTTTTTACTTCTTTGTAAATCTTATTTACTACAGATGAAAATGATTTCAGTTTCAATGTACATGCAGCATGTGTACTAATAAAACAGTTGTGATTAAAGCAAACAAGTTTTAATTTAGGAAATCATTTATAGTTGCATTTTATTCAACGTTATGATTGCAAAAGTAGTCCCTAGCAAGTTTCATTGGAATTACTAGTATTACATAAGAATATTCCTTATATTCGTAATCATTCCGACATCTTAGCCCTTTCATCCACTTTTTGTGATCATTATACAAATGATCGGTTTCCTGTCCAATTTCAGATCATTTGCTGATGATATGATAGCGTGAAATTTCACTAATAACCCTCCAACAAGCTGCTTTGCAGTAAAATATTTGATGTTAAGATAGGCGTCAATAACATGGTACCTGTTGTTGTCGTAATGCACCCCATGTTGGATTGCTTTGACAGTTATACTTGTATTTGATCTGGTTAGGTTTCTAAGAAGAGATATTATCGTAAAGCTTATATTATAAAATTGCAGTACTAGTCGATAACTAATATAAGTATCACAATAATATCTATTCTAGAAACCTAACTACACCAAATGTAACCTTCAATATATTCTAATATAGGATGCATCACGACTATAGTATAGCACGTAAAATTTCTCAATTGTATACTATAAAAGAGAATAATTTTTAATTTTACTCAGCCCGGTATTGAAAGTAACGAAAATAAATATACGAAACTGAGGCAGTAATAATCCAAATACAACGATACACAATTATATATCGTGGAATTATAAGATAAACTGCAATTCTGACTGTAATTGTAGGCAGGTTTTGCTGAAGTGCAATCAAATACGGAATAAGCTAAAAATAAGAGAGTTTGATTTTAAATTTGCCAATAAAAAGTAAGCGTTAGTCATATTTCCAGTAAAATAAATAAGTTAATTTTAGTTCGTAGAAATTTATAATAACTGCGAAATTTTCAGTGGGTATAATATATTCTAAATTGTAAATCTATAGGAATTGGGAGACTCTTGTAATCTCATGATCGTAAAATAGTCGCATTTATGATAAACTCTATCATCCACGAAGGAGATATAATCCTTGGAGTTGACAATCTGTTGATTTTTTTCTCTACCATCCCAATAGGAGAAAAAATCTTCGTAATCAACAAACTGTTTATAGAAATTTCCTTCCACAAAATGTTTATACAAAATAATGTCCTATGATGATGGACCTCTTTTCACGAAAATAGAATCATTTTTGTTCAAAAAGTTCTCCATTAAACTTTTTACAACATTTTCCTTTCGAACTAACCTATATTTTATTGCAATAATACCTTATATTCAGATAATTTCACCTTACAATTTAGCCTGATAAAGTGTATGAAAGGCAAATTTTAAGCCGTACGTAATCAATTGTTTGTCAGCTATCGTGCAGAACTTACATATTATAACTTAATTATTACTACGGTAAGTTATTCATTTTTAGTTAGGAAAAAGTAAAAGATGAAATGATTTTCTAGCACTAAATGATTATTTCTGTAAGATATTTGCATCTTTAGCAGCAGCGTTAAGTTAATTATGCTATTACTCATCATCGAACATATTGCAATACTTCGTGTACAATAACTCAGAAATAGTAAAGCACAATGATCGATCTACTCATATTTGTAAAATTTTTAGCAGAATTGATGCAGTTTTACAGATATTTACGAGGTTTTACCAATGCAACACAAGTCAGAGAGTACCGAATATGCACAATCATTACAATGTAGTTCTGATGGAGGCTCCTATAAGAATAAAACAAGTTTAATTTGCGAAAGTATAGCCATCATGACTATGGAAAAATTCAATTACTGAGGTTGTAATATATTCGTTTACGTTCATTTTACCGATGCTCTTTGAATACTTGATTGTGGCAACGAACGAAATTTCAATGATTTTGCGACCAAAAGGCTAAAATAGCAGTAAAACATACCTACTGAAAATTGAATAACTAATACACCAATATTAAAGCCGATAAACATCGAACGGCTTAAAATGCCGTTACAAAACCAACTAATTCCAAATCTAGTTAATCTATAGAGAAATGTTCCTAAAATGGCATCTTGTCCTAACAAACATAAGATAATTATGACCACCAGCCAGCTTTGAATTTTAACCTGGTCAATAAAATAATATCAAGAAATCTTTTAGTTTCTTCAATCTGGATGCAATCATGTCTAGCGTATCGATACTACACGTGAAATTATCTTTCTACAGTAATATTTAATTCCAGATGATATTATCTCCTGACGATTAAGAAACAAATAGTCTGATACAGCAGCTTCATATTCTAAGGTCAATTTAGAATTATAATTCCGGCATCAAACTAGGCTATCTCTAAAAATTATGCTATAATTTGGGCAGAATGTCTTTAGTTGCCCTTTAGTAAACAATATTTTATCCTTCATGACAGAAAATATTTTGAAATTCAAGAGCTTTTTTCTAAAACAAGTTTCTGTATTTATCTGATCAATCTTGTAGGTATGACAGATAGAAATATCATTTTCTTACATTTCTGCTACTTTGTTGTTCCTTTTTATTGATTATCAAAGCAACAATAGCTAATATCAAGACCTGTGGACACATGAACATTTCAGATCACGATGCAATGCATGATAATTGATAAAGTTTTCCATCATCTTAATTAAAATGAATTTAGATGTTCCTACACAATTTATCGTTAAATTGACTTACTGGTCCTGCAGTCCAATATGTAACATAATACAAATTTAAGCTTATTGAAAGTGAACCAATTGGACAAGGATTAATTATTAATCCCAATATCGCTATGAGAATTTGCACGGAAGCAAAACCAATTACAAACTTGCAAACTAGGCAAATTCGATGATTTTGCCCTGATTGGGGTACTGTCATATCTGCTATAGTCCTAGTAGGCTGTAAAACAGACATTTGATTTACAGATTACATTTTCGGGAACATCATCAATAATAATTTTTATTGTACCTGATGAATTGGATTGTTACAGTTGGTATTTTCGATAGCTATTGAGGAAAACCCTGACTCATAATTATTATTGAAAACAATTCCAAGTTCCTTTAAGCGAATATTTGGATCACTGTAAGTAGCATTTCCTGCAACGGTTGTAGCGGACTCTTCATGGTTCTGGGGATCTCTTTCTGTGTATTTATATATCTGAACGTTGGTTGTCGTCATGATGAAATTCAATAAGTTTTGCCCACTTTGTGATGATAAACTGTAGCGGATATGATATCTTTAATGACAATATAGAATTCAAGGAGCTAATATAATCCTAGTAAGAATTAAAATCCTCATTAATATTTCATAAAATGTTGTAGTCAATCCTCATTAATATTTCATGTTTCGATTAGGTTACTTTATGATAAATTGCATGTGTAAATAATTCATTTGCTGTTAAAAGACTATTTCTTCTGAAATATGTATCAATAGAGACTATACTAAATTACTTACAAGGATGTCATCTCGCAATTCAAGTTACGTAACGAATACACCATTACATAGTTTAACTTAACTGCTGCAGAAAACATTATTTCAGATATCTGTAATTTCTCTACGAACGATATGGAATTTCATATTACCTCTTATAATTAATCTTGAAAGCTAATTAATTTATCGCATGTTTACAAATGGAGAGAGATTATGCTACCATATCATTTAATAGTTCAAATTTGGATAATCAGCTTACAGTGGAAGTTATATTTCGGGTACGAAAGGGATCAAATAAAATTGGCACATTTCATAATGTGATCTTAATTTATACGATGGTGAAGGTCTAATTCCATAAATAAGCTACGATCTAATAATCTAATCTATGTTATAACTGTATTATCTGCCTTATGAATAGATAATTAAATAGATAATTAATTACACTTGTAAAAGTTTAATCTAACTACCGTTAAAGAGATTATCTCAACTATATACCGATTACGAAAAGAGCGACAATAGTCTAAAGAGGTAACCCAATTTGGTCCACAATTTATAAGTTAGTTAACTGTCTAGTGCCGAGGTGCTTCTTGCCTTTAATTTATACCGCAAGCTAACTCTGTAAAGAGCGACAATCTGATAAATCCAATTTGGAAATCATTAGAACACGGCATCATAAAATCTACTTGTAAACTACGGTAATTAATCTACAGTACTTCTCCTTTCATATCAGAAAATGTTGCGATAGAAATTTAAATAATGCCCAGTTCAAGGATAGGATATGAATAAATATTATATCCAAGATAAAGCTAGTTTTCATTTTTGTCATGTCTAGATTAAGTGACTTACTAAATTGGAACCAACCAGATTCAATTTATATCAAGTAATTAAAGGGAAATTTTTCTCAAATTTCAGGCGTAAAGTGGCAGGAAATATTTCAGTGATCTGGATTAATTGCACAGTTATAATCTTAATTTAGATATGTCAAATACATAAACTGGATTACAAAATGACGAAGCCAAATCAATAACTTTTCCTCCAAAAGTTCAAGCAATAAAAAGTGAATTATGTAACTGATTAACATAGAATATGAACTAGGCAATCATGAAATTTATCTAGACAGTGTATTGGTAGCCATGACTATTAATTAGCTATAAAACAGAAATAATATTGAAGTCATATGATAGAATTTTCATTAAACGATAAATTCAAGATGAAACATACAGTCTAAAATGATCAATGAACACTGTCGTTTTAAATACTGTGGCTACCAACCTCCTTCTTACGAAACTTTGTACAATTTTTCGAAAAGCATTTTAACTTCTACTCCCCCGTTCAAGAATCTAATCTAAATATTTATTAAGGCATAAAACTGGTAAACGTAAGCCGATCTCGATTCTTCAATAACTTATAAATATTTCAGTTTCTATTTAATATTAATGAAACCTTCCTAGTTCAGCGATGCTATTGAATCATATTAGGGATCTTTAAACCATTAGACGATAATTATTTGACGCGTGATGATATAAACGATTTTTAATTTAACGGATCTTAAGATACAATAGTCAACTCTGTAGTATAGAAGTTACTGGGCTGTTACAATAATATATAATTCATCTTATTTTTTTATTGTTGGATCAGCTAATAATGATCATTTTCTAATTCTTTTGAATACAGTAATTTGTTTAATAACATTACGAATTTATGACAGGTCAATTACAGTACTTGAATTTCTTGAGTAAGAATATTGTTGGATAATATTTACTTATGAGAGTGTATTTCCATTTTTTGTTTAATTTATACACTAAAAGGAGGCGGAAATTATTCATACAATGAATCCAAAATCTATCACCAACCCTAAATATCAGTTCGAAATACGAAAAATCGAATAACTGTACACTTCAAAATGGGCTGAGCAGTAAATATAATAATAGTAAATAATTTATATAGTCGAAGTTTATTAGCCATAAGCGGTGGCTCCAAATGTCCTTGTTACAACTTCCAAATTTTGTAACAAGTACTAGATCTACACTCAGCAAGGAGACCCAGTAATTAAGTTGAAGAACTAACTTTATTGTTGAAATGAAGAGTTTATATACTTTCTTTATTGTGACCTTTGATCTACTAACGTAGATCACAAGATCCTCACTAACAGAAAGGTTTCTCTAGTTTAGACATTACAAATAGACTATCATGCCAAGTATGGCAACATGAGAATACATATATAGATAACCTTAATATAGTACAATATTAGATATTGCGTTGACATCGTTAGACATGTTATTTGCGAATAATAAGCATGTAATCGCTCCCAACAATCAATTATAATTATTCAAGAATGGTATATGATCTTCTGTGAACAGCTGTACTGTAGTTGTAAAAATACTAAAATGCAGGATATTGATAACTATCATCTATCTAAGAAAATTACTTTACTGATGATTCAATTGTGATTGTGCTAAATGTGTGTGATAAAGTGATCTTCAAAACAATAAATCAAGAACTACAGTTTCTTGCAAATTTCACTTTATTACAGAAGTTAGGTTCGGCTAACTACCAAGGACTATCTGACTATCTGACAATCTACTTATTACAGCAAAATTCACGATTTATATACGATTAGTTACAGAATGCTTTTACTGTAACAAATCTTATCTTGCCCATTAAGTCGCAAGATCAGATCTAAATTTACCATCGCGCAATCTATTCATAATTCGCGCGTCTATTTAAAGCATTACAATACAATACTTACAGTACTAACATACTTAGAGCAAATCTATTTATATATCTCAGATCTTTATATAAACATCTTAATAGATTCGCTACAATACGTATTGTAAACATCTTCTACAAATAGACTCTTACACAATCTTACACTCTAGCTTACAAGTTAAGTTATTCTCGTACAGTCTTATAATAGTAATCTAAGCTATATTTGGGGCTGCACTACAATATGTTAGAAGTTACAAACAGGAGCCTATGATCAATAGGACTCAGGATACGTCTTTATTCAATTCTTATTAAATGTCCTCTATAATTTCAACATTGTAAAGCATCCAAATCTAGCCTTTTATTAAATGCCAACTACCTTTTTGCCCTTATTTTGTGAGAATATGATCACTTTAAGACTCGATTACGTAGTTGGATACTTTTATTAAGATTATTACAACAAAATTAAGATTTGTTTATTATGCACAACTGGAAATATACCGTAGCTGAATATTTTGTAATCGATGTTGATCAGTTGGAGATTTGTTAAGGTGTGAAAAATAGTAATAGTTTATCTCTTTGTGGTAGGCAGAATCTAAGTCCAGCTCAAGGTTAGATTCGATATTGCTGTGCCAAATTATACTAATTATTACCAGTATTATTTGAAAATGTGAATACAATACTGCTCTTTTTAACTCTCAACAAATTCTGTTTTGCTACTGATGGAAAATAAGCTGCATCTTCAATATACAATAAGCTTTTATGTTAATAAAATAACTATGAATAAATTTTAATTTGTTAAGACATTATTCACACTTCTAACCACTATGATATTAGTGCAATGGAATGAAATGTGTAGAAACCAAGGAACCAAAGTTCTAACGAACTTTGATTCTACTTTCTTTGTACTCTGGTCGACTTGACAAAACTTTGACACCAAATAAAATTGGGGAAACAACCGATCAACAATTTATTAAGAAAATGTGAGAGTCTGATCCGATAACCTTCCAAATACTTAATTCTAAGTATTATAAGTAAAGAAATGAAAAAAACGACAGAACTGAAACTGTTAATAACCAAACAACCAACAAAAAGAACGCTTTAACTTACAACAGTTCGACCCCGAAGGCCTTTAAAATTCAACAAGTTCTTCAAAAGAATCTTCTTTTGCTCTCTGCTCTAAATTTTCTGATTGTAGTATCATTTATAGGCTTTGCAGAGCCCTCAATGGTACTTAAAATTAAATATTTATTAACCAATCACTCTTAAGACCCATTTTAGAAAACTGCTTTGCACCACTTAAGAAAGCAAGAATCATTCAAAGTTCAGACACAAATTACCTTATAATTCCCTTACAAAACACTATGAAACCATCAAACTAAGTATAAAATACCTCAAGCTTCACTTCTAACTTAATTTCCAATCATCATATATTACAAAAATCTAAAAATTAACCTTTAAATATCAAGATTTAGTCATAAAAATAACACTTCAATTACTTAACAATCAACATAACCTCTACTATATGCCATCTTATTTTCTATTTTCTCAACTAAACTTTTCTAATGTAACTTTCATGTCACTTCATACAATTCCGAAGTTTCAAATTCACAACAGAAAGTTCAAATTTTAAAAGTCAACTCTTATAACATTTTCTAAAAATTAAAATCCAAAAATTAAATTTATATCGGACATAAATCCGACCGGATCCGGAATCTGAATCTGAAAAATTCGAATTTTATAAAGATGACAGTAATCGCTTATCATAAAATTTTATATGACTACTATGACTACTTCTTAATATTAGTGTTGACAGTTGATGTTTTAGCGTGAAGTTGTACGGTAACTGTACGATTATAGGCAGCATTACCGTACTTTACTGTCATGTTATAAATCCCCTTTCTCTATGGATAGCGGTTTTGTTACTAAGTCAAATTCATCAATAATCTCGTATGCTATCAAACGCCCTTTCTTTAGATTAGGCGATTACTCTTAGGTTATTCCTATAGTAATCTATATAATACTTTGTAAATTAATGAAGA